TGGGAGGGGCCGGGCCGGCCCTCCCGCCCGCCCTGCCACAGGGCTGGAGCGCCAAGAGACCTCGCTGGCGTCAGCCTGGCTCTCCTGCAGCTCCCAGCGACGCGCAGCCTGCCCAAGGAGCCAAGCCTACGCCACCCACTGAGCTGTGAGCGCCCAGTCCAGAGCCAGGCTCGGGGCAGGGAGAGCCTGGCGAGAGCACACTCCAAGCCAGGCCAGCACCCCCAGGACCTACCAGGCTGTCCAAGCCTTCCCGAGCCCACGCCACCCGCTGAGCTGTGAGCGCCCAGTCCAGAGCCAGGCTCGGGGCAGGGAGAGCCTGGCGAGAGCACACTCCAAGCCAGGCCAGCACCCCCAGGACCTACCAGGCTGTCCAAGCCTTCCCGAGCCCACGCCACCCGCTGAGCTGTGAGCGCCCAGTCCAGAGCCAGGCTCGGGGCAGGGAGAGCCTGGCGAGAGCACACTCCAAGCCAGGCCAGCACCCCCAGGACCTACCAGGCTGTCCAAGCCTTCCCGAGCCCACGCCACCCGCTGAGCTGTGAGCGCCCAGTCCAGAGCCAGGCTCGGGGCAGGGAGAGCCTGGCGAGAGCACACTCCAAGCCAGGCCAGCACCCCCAGGACCTACCAGGCTGTCCAAGCCTTCCGCGGGGGGGCCCAGATCCAGGTTCAGGAGGTCCCCCAGGAGGTCCCCCTGAGTTGGGATAACAGCTGGTGGCTCTGAAGGGGGGGGCCCCGAGGGGGCTGCGTCGGGGCTCTCTGCGCTCTCGCTCCTGCGGAGGGAGAGAGGTGAAGCCTGGGCCTGCCGGAGACGCGCTCCCGCAGGGCAGGGCACTGAAGAGCGAGAGGCTCAGCATCCCGACACCTCAGCATCCTCCCTCTGGCCAGAGAGCCGGCGGCGCTGGGGGGAGGGCGCCTGGCCCCACGGGGAGCCCATGGCTGGGAAGGGGCTCGGCCCAGAGCCTGCCGGGGGCACCGCTAGGTACTCACGAGCCCGTCCGCGGAGGCAAGCTCTTATGCACGATGCCTCTGCTCCCCTCCACGAAGGCAGTGGGGGGCTTGTGGTACACGGAGGCCAGAGTGCCGATGTAGCAGATCAGCTCGTCCAGCAGCGTGGGCTCAATCAGGTCCGTCTCCGGCTGGGAAGGGGCTCGGCCCAGAGCCTGCCGGGGGCACCGCTAGGTACTCACGAGCCCGTCCGCGGAGGCAAGCTCTTATGCACGATGCCTCTGCTCCCCTCCACGAAGGCAGTGGGGGGCTTGTGGTACACGGAGGCCAGAGTGCCGATGTAGCAGATCAGCTCGTCCAGCAGCGTGGGCTCAATCAGGTCCGTCTCCTCGGAGATGTTTGGGAAGGCAGCAATTAGAGCAAGGCACGGGCTCCTCACCGGCCCAGGGACCAGCACTGCCAGCAGCCCTCCTGGGCAGGGCCAGCCGCCTCAGCAACCCCTGCTGCAAGGCGGCGGGGCAAACCTGGCACGTAGCGTCAGGTCGGCGGTGCCGCGCGCTGCAAGGTGCAGGCACTTGGGCGCATGTTCACCCATCTCCCTGCCTTATCGCTACGGACGCTCCAGCTCGCCTCAGTCCTCGGCAGCACCTCTGCGGCAAGGCGACCGAGGGCGCCAGATGGGCTCGAGAGGCTGTCTCTCCAGGCATGTCATGGCAGGGAGGGCGGGTGAGCCAAGAAAATCCTCGGCCTGCTTCCACTCCCATGCTGCAGTGCCTGCAGGTAACAATCTGTGCAGCACCTAGCACAGAGCCCGGAGCCCAGCACGACTGAGCATCTGCCGGGAAAGCCTGCGGCCCGGACGGCGTCACAGCGGCTGCCTTGCAGCCGGAGGGATATTCTAGCTCAGGTGCAGTGGGAAGCAGGACCCCAGATTCGAACGGGCAGCCCAGAGGTCACGGGCTCCTGAGCAAACAGGCCTGGCAGAGACCTCAGGAGCCAGGAGTACAAGCCGCTAGCGGCTCCAAGCGGGACCGGCCCCGACCGCTGTCAAGCTGGCACCCCTGCCGCCGTGTTAACCCCAGGACAGTGTCTGGCCAACATGGCCGCTGCACGGCTCTCGGGAGCCAGACCACCAGCAGCGCTGCTCGCCAGTCGCCTGCACCGACACGGTCCGTTCTGGGGCGCCCTCCCGCGCCTGCCTCCCCGCCTTGTCCCGGGCCGGCCCCCGAGGCCGCAGGCCCACTCCGGCCAAAGGCGCTGCGGACGTGCTACCCACCTGAGTCGCGAGGCTCAGCACCTGCTGCACCAGCTCCTGAGTCTCAGTCGGCTTCTTCAGGAAGAGCTTTACGATGGCCGTCAGCAGCTGCAACTGCACCTGCACCGCGTGGGCAGGGAGGGGTCAGGGAGCAGACCGTGCGCACCCACCAGCAAACGCAGATCCCGTCCCGCACCAGCTGAAATCTGCCCCCCACCCCCCAGCTGGCCGAGCTCAGCCCCCGGCCCGGCCACGCAGTCTCTGCCCTCGCCAGTTCAGGGCAGGGATTGGTCCTAGCGCCCGGGGATGCAGGCGAGAGGAACAAGATGACAGCCATTTGCCCTTCCCCCTTGCTACATGGAGATGTGAGGGCTACTTGGCTCCTGCCATGTTTCAGTTCAGAGCACTTTCCCGTCCCTCCCCAAGTACTGCAGGGCAGCACCGCCCCCATTTTGATGATGCAAACAGAGGAACAGGTGGTTAAATGATGTGCCCAAGGTCTCACTGGATCTCAGTGGCAGAGACAGGAACGGACTCGAACCTCCCAGTTCATTGTCTTAATTCCAGAAGAGCCGGAGAGCGAGAGCACCCGTTTCCGTACCTCCCGACTAGGGACAGACGCGAGCCATGCCCAGCGTTTCCAAGGGGCTGACGGCCTTCGTTTACAGCGAGCGTGGGCAGGCCCCGATTTCAGACCAGGCCAGAGCCTTCTGCAGGGGGCAGATGCCACACTCGGTGGCGCGAGAACGGCAAGGGGAGCGAAGCCGCAATTACCCTGCTGCTCAGCCCCGCGCACAGCCAACGAGCAGCCAGACCCCCCCGCTGCAGCGTCAGCAGCCTCCCTCCCTCCCTCCCTCCGCACAGCGGGGCCAGTGAGCCCAGCTCCGAGCAGGTCTCCACGGGCAGGCCAAGCAGCCGTTGAGCCATTCACCTGGGTGCTCTCGTCGTGGAAGCCCTCCAGGAAGCTCTCCAGCAGCTCGTCCGCGTTGTCGATCCGCTCCGCGTATTCGCCCACGATCCAGATCATGGCTGCTCGGGCCTGGGGCTGATCCA